TCGAATAGGAGCAGTAGGAGCGGCCTAAAGGTCGTGAACGGGACGGCGGCGCGCCATGGGGAGCAAGCGGATCGGAAGGACGCCGCGTCGTGGCCTGACGCGAGACGCTGCCCGATGGACTCGAGGAGATCCTCTGGTAGGTCGGATCTCCAGTCAGGGAGAGGTAGGGACCTTCTTTTGGGATTGGGAGGCTGGGCCATGGAAGACAGATGACATCAACTATGGTTCACGCAAGAAACAGCAAGCGAGGGCGATGGAACACGTGAGCGTGAAACCAAATGAAAAGAGGAAAAGTTGTCCCTTTTGCAAATGCAAAGAGGGAAAATAATTAAATGTAGGCAGATTTGGCAAGGTTCTCAGAAATGCAAAGAGGTTCCTTTTGTCTTAATTCTCTTTCCTTTTGCTCGTTGCCATGTATGCTGGTGCATGCAAACATGCAATGTGTATATGGATAGCACAATAATTTTCTACTTCCTATTTTGCCGTGATTCCTCTATCACATTACATGCAATATTCAATCAAGGAGAATGACACGATCAATCAGTAATTAAGATGTCATGGGATCACAGGCGTGGGCAGACAGACAAACCAAAATAAATGTCGCATAAAAAATATCCATACTTTGTTCTTTTTAGTTATAGGAGATATAATAAAACAAGGGTTCTAGCTAGTCTATTTATCAATCTACTCTAGTGCTACAAAATTTAGAGTGAGTATATAATAACCTAATGAACCTACTGTAAAAACTTCATGACTAAATCTATCATCCATTTGCCACAATAATTCCTACAAATATTAATCTACATAATATTAATCTCTCTAATTTGAATTTATAAACCTATCAGTATCACAGCTAACTGCAAACTAACTACACCAACAGATAGATAGTATTTTTGTGAACCTAACAAATTTTGTTTTACTATTTTTAGACATCTATAAGATTTACTATAATTTATCAAAGTTCAGCTCAAAACTAAATTGAATAAGCATTTATTAATTCCTTAGAAAATAGAAAACCATATTTCAAACCATGGCCCACGTCCGTGCGACGCGCGCGTGCTTGCGCTCCATTGGCGCGGCCCACGCAGGGGCGCGGCCTAGCCGAGCGACGTCAGCCCGCGACGGGAAGGCCCACGCGCGACAGCCGTTTTGCAAAAATGCCCCTAACCTACCTACCGACGAATCACCCTGAGACCCACGGCACTATTTCTACAGACAGTTACTTCGTAGATAAGCCCTCAGAATAATCCGTCTTCGCAACGACGACACCCTCGGCACCCCCGCACGTGTACCGAGGCGGCGGCGCTGGCACAGGGCGATTACGTTGGCCAGACCGGCCGTTCCCCGCCCCAACTACGAGGCGATGCTCACCTAGGCGTAAACCCAAAGTGATGGGCGACGACGCAGTGAACAAAGATGCTGTTCCGAGCTCCCTCCACGACGGCGGACTCCTCCCTACGACGGCGGGCATGTTCCCGTGAGCCACGACACAGACAACGTGAATGAGCTCAAGGATGGGCAACAACGACTCACCCCGAACCTACCAGATGTGGTGGCTTGACCGGAGACTGACCGAGCGAGTCTAGTCACGCGCGCATGACAAGCCTCGCGACGGCGACGGTGGCGCGACTATGTCGGCAGTAGCGGGGCGAAATGGGGTGCGCACGGGATAGAGTGGAGCAGGGCGAAGGTACAGTGCCAACGAATTGGACGGAGGTGGACGGGGCTAGGGGAATTTGACGGGCGCTGCCATGGAGTCTTAAAGTGGCCGACGGCTAAGGAACTTCAAATTGGGGCTCGACACCAGCTAACAGCAGCAGTGGAAGTGTTTGGCGCGTAGCTAGGTTCTTACCCAATCCTCAGGCGCACGCAATTGCATGGATTCGACCGGCGCTGCGAGCTAGCCTTGGCGTGGCCCGACGACTCCGGCGCGACGCCATTAATGGCAGAGGTGACCGGGAGCGCAGAGCGATGCTTGCCACGCATCGCAACGGACAAGGCACACACAGAGACGACACATGTGGTCGTACAATTTGGCACGGCTCGACAGGCGTGGTGCATTGACTTACAAGCAGACGGCGACACGGCCACGTGCCGGCGTAGCGTCTCAGGCGGACACGATGCGAGCGGTGCAGCGTACGCGGGCGATGCAGACTCGCGGCTGCGACACACAGCAGCGTGTTGACGTGACACAATGCAGCGCAGGCACGCCACGGTGAAAAGGGTGACAGCGGCACGGTGATGGGACGGCGGCGCAGTGACACAGGCAGACGCAACACTGGCGGCTAGAGCGCATGCGACGATCCAGCGCTTGCGACCGAGGCCAGCAGCAGTGCGAGGACACATCGAGGCAAGCGGCAGCGGAGGAGCAGAGCGACTGGGCCTACCAGCACCAGCGTGGTGGCTCGTGCTTGGGCGAGGTAGCGGTGTGGTCGTGGCCCGCAGCGCGGAGCCAGCGGCAGGCCAGTGCAGCGGCGGTGGCACGCGTGCGGCGTGCGTGAGCGCGTGCGAGGGCACGGCAATGGAGATGCGATCGACGCGACAGCGTGCGCTTGGGCAGGCCAGTGCAGCGGCAGTGAGCCGAACCGAGGCGGTGACCGCGTCTAGACACAGACACCGACCGAAACGTGACATGCACGATTTTTAAAGCGGTCCTAAAACCCAACTCGATGATCCAGTGGCGAAACTAACTATTTAACGCTCGAGATGGTATGTCAAACTACTAAAACCAACCATGAAATTACACTACTTCTTAATTCAATTCGCCTGCAAAAATTCCCGAACTTAGCTTCGTCGAAGCGTTTCCTAACTTAAGAAATTCAACTACGTTCTTATCGGTTTCGCGTCGAATTCGATTTCCAAGCTATCAAGGATGCTAGCTAGCGAATCCCATTCTCGACCGCAAGTATTTCACCGCCACCTACGAAGTTTGTACCACAAAATTTATTGAAGTGTCGGGTATGCATTCTATAGCATTTCCGTTCAGTAAAAATTCATTTAGAACTATAAGCGATATAACGCGACATAAAATATAACTTCCGTTTCGCGTTTCCGATGAACGTTTCGAGCCACAAAAATTGATTTACACTTTATAATTCATACACTATCATATAAACATGATGCATATGCAATGTTTTAGTAAAAATGATACAGTGTAACACCGAGGGTGTTACAGGGGGCATCTTTGCTAGACACGTCGGGATATAATTCTCTAGGACGACCCTGTTTTCGCCACAACTGCTCCCGATACATGTCTTGTATCTAACAAAACGGTTGTAGTTTAACACCAATCAAAACATCACAAATTAATATAAAGAAGAACTATTTGCATTACAACTAAACAATATAACCAACACTTATAGAAACAAAAATATACCTTACACTAAACATGATAAACATACTTCTAACTAACTAATTAACATTAACATTGACAAAATCGAACTAATATTTTCCTTCAAACTCTAACACATAGTTTCCAAATATACTTTTCCTCCAAACCCTAGCTACTAATTATAATCTTTGAATCCACCGTTCAAATAACAAATAAGAGCATCATTACCATGACCGAGGCCGCGTAGAAGCTTGATGGAATGGGGGAGGGTGGCGGCTAGGGAGGGCCGGGCGGCGACAGACCTTGGGAGAGGCGGGAGGCGGCGGCGCGGGCGCCCTCGAAGTAAGGCAGAGAGAGGGAGGGAGGCTCGCGGTGCGACATTAAGTCGGTCTTGCCGCGCCGTGCGGCGTGGTGCGGCACTGCTGCGCCAAGATCTGCGGCGCGGCAGCGCCTGCCATGTCATTGGTCAGGGGCCGGGTCGCTGCCACGTGTTTCCCTCTGCCGCGCCGCCATGCATGGCATGGTAGAGTGGTTTGGTCGCGCCAGGGCAATAGGCGCGGCCAAAAGTGTTAGATTTGAAAAATAAAAAATAAACGGTGTCAAATTTAAAAATAGTTTTATAAAAGGGTTAAAAATTAAAAAAAAACGATTTGAGAGGGCGTCTGCTGGAGGCCCTCAGATTTCTGTCGCGGTCTGGAAATAGTAAACACGCCCGTCCTCGTCCTCCTCGTCCAGTCTCCGGGCAAGGCCCTTCACCAGCGGACTCCCCCGGCACACCTCCACTGTCCTCCTCGGTGGCTCCCCTCCCCTGTCGGCGTGCCCCTTCCCGGATGAATCCGGTCCACGGCCGCATCGGGTGGATCAAACTCCAGCGCGTGGGTACGAAGATTCAGCTCCCTCTTTACATGCTACTCCATCCGATTCAAATTACAGTTCATTCTAACTTTGTTCTAGTTATAACTTTCACCGAGTTTTCAGAAAAATATATTGATCTCTAGAAATTCAAATAAATGCTCTATAAAAATATACTGTATGAAGAATCTAATGAAACCAATTTGGTATTCTAGTTATTTGAGTTTTTTTTCCTATAAATGTAGTTAAATTTAGAGAAATTTGACTTAGCAATCGTAGGGAGTATTTTGACAATTCAACGTGATATCACAGTAATTTGATCCGGTGCTTGTCAAGAGATTAAAAATACTAAGACCAATTCAAACACTGATGCAGGACAAACTTCATCGGCTCACATACCTGCATCACCAATTTTCCTTGCGACATTGGAAAATATTGATCACATAGTTCTACATGGAGCTGCAGCTGCTAGCATGCTACAATACCACTACCACTCCTATTACAGATTTACAGACACGCTATTTTACACCACTGGGAAACCCAGCGCTTATTCAGATACTATAATACTACAGATAGGCATTTTACAAGACCTCTTCTTAGACGATGTTTTGCATGATTCCTTTGCCCTGGTATGCTTCTGAGTCAGCGATCAGGATCTTCAGTCATCCCTGTTTGTGACTCTGCAGACGGCAAGCTTAGCATAAACTTACTGCATGAAACAATGACAGTACTACTACCACTACATTACAGTTACATAGAGGCTTTTTCTCCGCCACTGGGATACACAGCTTCTATTGAAACATTATATGCACGCATTTTAGAAGATCTCCTTGTAGACGATGTTTCTCACCATCCCTTCACCAGGGCACTCTTCATCGGTGATGAGGATCTTCAGCCCATCCCTCTTTGTGACTCTGGAAACTGCTACATAGAGCTGCCCATGGGTGAAAACCTGTCTCGGTAAATAGAGCCCGACCTTTTCCAGAGATTGCCCTTGGCTTTTGTTGATTGTCATTGCGAAGCACACAGAGAAAGGGAATTGCTTTCTTTTTAGCATGAACGGCCACCTGGGTTCATATTGTGTCATGATGATCTGAGGGATGCATACCTTATCCCCTATGCATGCTCCAGTTATGATCTGTGCTTCAGTGACCTTTTCCCCAAGTCGTGTGATTATCATTCGAGTACCATTGCACAGCCCCGCTGTTTGGTTGACGTTACGAAGAAGCATCACCGGCAGGCCAACTTTGAGTTTGAGCTGGTGGTTTGGAATTCCTGAGTGCTTCAAGGTGTTGAGGAACTCAGTTGGATATTGATGCTCCATTTCATGGTTGTAGTACATCGATTTGGACACGCTGTCACTGCTCAGATAACTCACTGTGTCACCCTGGATTTGTTCCATAACATACTCGTTGATTTCTTTGGCATCCTCATTTGTTGTACACAATATTGCATTTTCTTCTAGGAACTTCTGATCGCAGCAGTTATCGTGCAGGCCTGGGTAGGTGCTTTCAATGATTTTTGCTTTTGGATCATCTCCTTTTTGTAGCAACAGGTCACTGGGGATAGTAACCCATTCCTCATCTAATGAAACCGTGTCTCCATTACCAATTTGTAGTATCCACTTTGCAAATTCCGCAGTCCTCTGCAGCTGTGCTCGATTGGCGGGCACAGAATTTAACCGCATATTTTTTGTCAACTTGAATACCTCAAAATGTTGCCACAGACACGATCGTTTAATCGACGCATTTATAGTGTGTTCTCTTCTTCCTTTTGGCACAACAGGGAGGATTTGCCTGAAGTCGCCTCCTAGAACAACTGTCATCCTGCCAAAGGGCTTGTCAAGGCTGTTCTCATTAGTGAACCTCAACACGTCTCGTAAGCTCTTGTCGAGTGCCTCAAAGCAATTTCTGTGTGCCATTGGAGCTTCGTCCCACAGTATCAGTGATGTCTTTGTTAGTAGGTCAGCCACGTGTGAACCTTACTTGATGTAGCATGTCGATTCATCTGTGAGGATCATTGGAATATTGAATGCTGAATGTGCTGTTTTACCTCCTTTAAACAGAAGTGCTGCAATGCCACTGGAGGCAACTGCCACTACTATCTTTCCCTCTGATCGTAGCCTCGTTATGATTGCTTTCCAAAGGTATGTCTTACCTGTCCCACCATAGCCATCCACAAATATTAGCTTCCCTAGTGATTGGTCTGCTGATTCAGTTATTGCATCAAAGGCCCTTTTCTGATCTGTATTTAGGCTTTTTAGTATCTGCAGGTGCTCATCCTTCAACTTGTCTCTGTCATGGATCATTTCTCCGTTCATGAGTCTGTTTTCGGTATCGTTTAACTTGGCCATATCAGCTATCTCTATTCCAGGGTACTCCTTTAGTGATTTTCCAGCTTGTTCCATTAGCATCTCAATTTTCATCAGAGCACAGTTTCTTTATGGGAAGGTGCAAGGTGGCTGGTCGAGTTTTCTGTTTGCTCTATGTCTTCAGAGAGTGCTTCCCAGTTTGATTCCCACAGCCTATTTGGATTGGTAATCTCACAATGCCGCAGAATGGTTGCAAATAATTGCCGTAGTTGCATCCCAGACGCCCATCTGGATGCTTCCTTGATGCAGTTGATCCACTCCTTGTCATCATTTAAAAATCCTAGTGCATGACACGCTGATTTGTATGAAGAGTGCACGACTCCATTGACAGTCCTGATGTCTTCAAATGATGTGCAGCCCTTTGCAGTGTTGAGAAGCACTCTGAGATAATACCTTTCTCCACTCACAGGGTGAGCATTGTAGATCCGGCCAATTTTCTTGCCCCTTTTTCGTCTTGCCCATTGCTTTTCTTTGGCATGCCATGTCCATTTGGTCGGGAATTCTGAGTATGTTAATTCCCTGGCATCCTCATACTCTTTGTTTGTCTCCATCCTCTCTGTAAACATGGTAACTGCTGAACCCGGCAGTTTTACTATTTCCTCAAGGTTTGTCGAGTCAGGAAAAATCACTTGTTTTCATTCTCCAAGTGGAACCGTAGCCTCTGAACAGATGGTTCTTTGTAGTTCAGGTTAAACCTGAATATTGTTAGATAATCTACTGCTACCTTATGTGAACACAGCAAGGGGAAGGCAGCGCCGAAAAGGCCCCCTACTGTGATATAGTAGTCGCTGCAGGTGCAGGCGCCGAACTGCTCACCTGCAGCACTGTAGGCACATGCAGTGGCCGGCGCAGAGTCAGCCCGGTATGTTGTCTAGTCACTGTTGCAGCAGGGCAGCTGTACTGGGACTAGATGGATAGAGTTGTATAAATAGACTACCACGACAACTCAGTAAAGAGAGTTCAGATTTGTCATCTCTCAGACAGGGCTTCGGCCAACGCTGGTGTCTTGTACTGTGTGTGCATGTCTGTTCTCCCTTCTTCTTCAAGCTCTAGCCGTAGTGTGTGGGGACGGACAACGCTTGTTCGTGGTCGGCACGGCTAGTGGGTGCTCGGCAAGACTGGTGAGTGGTTCACTCACCTGAGCCGGTGATCCTGTGGGCCAACAAATATTCTCCAACAAGCTTCATATGCTGTGAGATATCTGCATCCCAGGTACATTTTAATCTCATCATGTGTCTTTGACAGACTTGCTTCTCCAATCACTGCTGTTGTTTGGTCTTCTACTGTGCGGATATATTTATATAGGTACTTGATTGATCTAGAACGGGTGAACCACTCTACATTGATATGTGCTTGGAACTTGACCAGGAGCGATTTGTTGTATGGCACAACATGTCCATTGTTCATATTGACTCCTCTTATTTCTATTTCCTGACCGTCATCTCGTCTTCTGTATATTGGGTTGCCATTTTCATCAATGATAGTCTCGTTACATAGACTTTTTGGGAACTGATAAGTGCATCTGTGGTTCACCGTGCATGGCAACTTTGGATTTGCCTCCCCACATGGTCCATGCATCATAAATTTCTTAACAGCTTCATATGTTTCTGGATCCTTTTCCTTCTCCGGGATCTCAGCACATATCATTTCATCAATTTGTGAGGGACTGAGGCACTTCTCCATTTTTTCAAGGAATATTAGAATATGGGCATGTGGGAGTCCCTTCTTTTGGAATTCTATCGTGTATATAACTGCAATTTTTCCCCAGAGTGTCAGCACATAATGAGTCTATAAATAAAAAGCATATTACACTTCAGTCTATTAGTTATTTGGTGAGTTTTTCCGTACTTACTTGCTTTCGTCTTTCCGAAATGCCGCCTCTGTTTAATGTCCGTCATTAATTCCTTCAGTTTTAGCATGAACACTCGAACTACAATATCAGGTCGTGCTGCTGGCTTCTGCTGGTTCCCAGCTTCATCAAGCATGCACTGGATCTCTGGCCACTTAGGATTGCATGTGAATGTTACAAACAAGTCGGGGTATCCAGCCCAACGGCATATTGCCATTGCATCTTGGTAGTTTTGCTCTTTGCATCTGGGACTTCCTCCGAAACTTGCTGGAAGTAGTCTCCTCCTCCTAACTTGTTCTGTTCTTGTATCTCCTTTTACGATTGCATCTCTTAACCCAGAAAAAAGTTCTGTTCTTAGAGCTCCTTGATTCTTTCTTACCCATTCAAGCCTGGATTGTTCGATGCATGCATAGACATCAACTAGGAACTGCATTGACAGATTTCCGCACATCAGCATCAGCATCGATTGATCAGAGCGTTGTTGGAGGCGATATGCATAGTATTCCAGCATGGTGATGTATTTCTTGCCATTCCTTGCACCGTTTGCTCTGTATCTTATGCCAGGTCTAAAACCATCTTCTCCATACGGGAAAAGCAACGGGTATTGCATGGCCATAAATTTTGGGTGGAGTTCTGGTATCCTTTTAGGCCTCATCTTTATACTCAAGTACGATGTCACGTCCGTGGCTTCCTTCGGCGGGATCTTTGACTATCAAGGCAGCAATTTCTGATGCTGATGGCATGTTGCATTCCCTCCCATCTTGTTCCCTGTTGTCAATTAATCTAAGAGTTAGGTTATGGTATTTGTGACCCTCAAACCTATCCCGTGCCATTCGGAATGACTGCACCAGTGTGTTGTTCTCGTTGAGCATGGTTACGAGGCCCGTGATAATGCTTTCATCTAGAGGGGCACTACATTCACCAGATCTTGACACTTGGAGCCTATTATGGATCTCATTCGCTGTATCATAGATGTATAATTGTTGGAAGCGAGGCTTGTCTCCTTCATGAGGTAGCAAAGTGCCTATGCGGTGGTAGTTCTGGCCTTTCAGTCGGAAAACATAAGGTCCACGCCCCTTGTTTATGTTTTTGTCGACAGTCCCTCCCATTGATGTGAATGCAAACATGGAGTTGTAAGATCTGATATTCTGTTGGTAGTTTGCTGAACTTTTGCCCCGTCTACTACCAATAAACTTGCAAGGTAACTTGGAGGTTCTTTTAGTGGTGGCAAGGTAACCCTCCCTTGTTTGCAGCACAGCAGTCCAAAAGATCCCCCCCTGCTATGGATTGGTTTCTCTCCATGCCACATGATCGCATGGCAGTGTTGGCAGATGCATGTTGGCCCCCCAAAGTTCCATATCTTACTAGCACCGGAATCATTATCTTCGCTTCTTTCACTCTTATTATGGGTATGGATTCTAGTACGTCTTCTGCTCCTCTTGAGTTGAACAATTTCTTTCCTTTTCATTCTTGCTGATTTTGCTAGTTGTTTTGACTGTCCCAGGTTCATCATTTTGTTGCCCATTGGTGCACTGGTTCCAATTGATAATTTGCGTTCAGCTTCATAATTTCTAGGACGCTTTATGCCCCTCTTGAGTTCATTCCTCGTTATCCCACTTGTCCTTGTTAATTCTACTAACCACTTTGATTGCATTGTTTGCTACTGTAACCTTTCTTCCCCCCTGATGGCTTACTTGTACGGGCACTTCTACCGATTTTCTTGCTCTTTCTGCTTCTCTTTGGTTAAAAGTCTTCAAGCGCGTTTGCATTTCTCAATCTTCTTTCTGGTTCTAGTGCCTGACAGTCACGTTGGCCATTTGCTTTTCTGCACACAAGTGCCGGTTCAATGGAATGTAAAAACCCTTTCTCTTATTGTTTCAAGACTCCACTTTCCAATTATTAGATTAGATGGTGGGGCGTCTTCGGTGTCCCAGCATAGCAGGTCCTAAGCCATGGTAAAAGAGTAGGGTTGTGTTAGGCGCGGCGAGCCAATATAAAAACTTGACCACTTTTATGGAGATGAAACCTAAAAGAATCCCGTTGGGGCATAATCCTCTTAGCGATGCGCCATGTCGGAACCCGGGTATGGTGTTAAATGAGCAAGGGCTGGGTCGTCACCCCTATGACGCGCCGTGTCGCGATCTGGGCACGGTGTCAAGTGAGCAAGGATCGGGTCGTCGCATCCTTAGTGGAACGCTACATCGGCGTCCAGGTGTGATGTAAAATGAGTAAGGGTCTTCACACCTACCTCGGCGGGTGCGAAGGGTAAGAAAGCTAGTCGAGTCAGTTATGATCCGTTTAGGTAGCTGGGATGTAGGGTCCCTTACGGGTAAGTTAAGAGAGTTAGTGGACACAGCGGTTAGGATGCGTGTAAATATCTTATGCGTCCAAGAGGCTAAATGGAAGGGGCAGAAGACGAAGGAGGTGGACAATACCGGCTTCAAGCTCTAGTACATAGGGACAACTTCAAATAAAAATGGAGTAGGAGTTTTGATTGATAAGAGCCTCAAGAATGGTGTGGTGAAGGTGAAAAGGCAAGGGGATAAGATTATCTTAGTTAAACTTATCATTAGTGTTATGGTCTTAAACGTAATTAGTGCGTATGCCCCAAGTAGGCCATGATGAGAGTGCTAAGTGGCTTTTTTGGGAAGACTTAGATTGCTTGGTTAGAGCTGCCCCTAGTAGCGAGAAGCTCTTTATAGGAGGTGATCTTAATGGCTATGTAGGTACATCAAGTGCAGGTTTCGAGGCGGTTCATGGGGGTTTTTGTCGGGGACCAATACTAAGGTACCCGAAGAGGAGGAGCTAATGACCATCAACATTGATTCATCCAAGCAGTCAAGGGCGCGACTACAGCTACAACCGACGCCAGGCGCGCAAACTTCGACTCGCTCGACCTCTGGGGGTGGGCTCCGCCTTGCTCGACCCCAAGGCCGCGGGCTCTGACTCGTCCGACCTCTGGGGGCGGGCTCCGCCTCGCCTGACCCCGAGGCCGCGGGCTCCGCCTCGCCCGACCCTAGGCACGTAAGCTCCGACTCGCTCGACCTCTAGGGGCGGGCTCCGCCTTGCCCGACCCTGAGGTCGCGAGCTCTGCCTCGCTCGACCCCGAGGCCGCTGGCTCCGCCTCGCCCGACCCCATGGTCGCGAGCTCTGCCTCGCCGACCCTTGGGTCTGCGCTCCGCCTCGCTCGACCCCGAGGCCGCGGGCTCCGCCTCGCCCGACCCTTGGGTTTGTGCTCCGCCTCGCCCGACCTCTGGGGGCGGGCTCCGCCTCGCCCGACGGGGACCCATACCACCGCCAACCACTCCAGGTCCAAGCGTATGGGCCTGGGTCAGAACCCTGACACCAAGGAAGAGACCAGCACGCCCCGATGTAACCTGTGGCCATGACGGGCCATACGTGAGGATTCACATCAAGAACAACGTCAAGCATACCGGTGCTGTTCTGCCTAACCCCCGTACGAACACTGACATGCGCGTCAACTCACCATGACGTCCGTTGCGACGGAATAGAACGCCATGACCGGCAGACGACGTATTCGCATGGCACCAGTGGTGGATAGGGCCACGACGTGGAGCTGTCCCTTGTGACATCTACAGGGTCGGTTGGACCCACATGAAGGATAAGAAGGACCCGGCTATCTTGAAGGACTTCCTCTCTCGTTCTTCTCTTTTCCTCCGCTATAACCCGTGCTTTCCCTTGGCCTATAAAAGGGAAAGCAGGGCATCCCATGAGGGGGACGGGAAAAAAGCCGAACCTAATCCGACCCCGAACCAATCAGACCCAGATACACACAAGAGCAGCACCCGAGCTCTTGGGACCCGTTCACTCCTTTCACCAAAGACTTGGGACCTGTCCCTCTCTCGCCTGTTTGTAACCCCTACTACAAACTTTCAGTGCTAGTAACACGAGCACCGGTGATGAATTGGACGTAGGGACATTCTGCCCGAACCAATATAAACCTCGTGTTCTCTAAGCACACCATCCGAGTTCTATAGCATTGAAAGAATCGCGTTTTCGGAAAATACAATTAAAAGATCTCAAACACGTGAAATACCATCGAAACAATCCTCGTAACTGGAAAGTACCATTATGTGACCATTTGGAGCAAACACCGTGAATCCACCATTTAGCTCCTCGCCTTCTCCTTTTCATCCCATGTTCTATGCAGTGAGCACTAGTAAACAAGCCCCTCTCCTTCCTGAGCTTCGGCTTAGGTGTATCAGAGTCCGGGTGCGTAGCTTGGCCGAGCGTGTAGTGTGCCACCCGGTCGAGCGTCCTCCTTGCTGTGCTCTGCGCCCACGAGACCGTGACTGCCACGCTCGTCGCCCCGCACGAGCTGTCTGCCCTCGAGCTAGTTGCCCCTGCGCGTGTCGTACATGGCGCCATGGCATTCGCACGGTGCGAATCGCACCTGCGCATATGTGTGTGGCATGTTCAGTAGAGCACTAGAGCATGATATATATCATCACATGCTGGTTTGATGACGACCGGCCTCCTTGCATGCGACTAAAGAAAGAAGAGGGAGAAACAAAACAAAATGATCTCAACCCAACCTGGGTTAACGTAGAGGGAAAGGAGCCATGGTGCCGGTGTCGGAGTGCTCGGTGATGACGACGACGAAGCTTCCCGTGTGTGGCCACCGGCCTATGGGGACAAGTGACGACGATGCGATAGAGAGGCCCCCATGCGCGGACGCTGGTTGCTGCTGGCACCGAGGTACGGGGCTACGCCGATGCTGAAGTCTTACGCCAGTCGGTGCTGGAGGCCTGGAGCTAGATGGCAAATGCCAAGACGCAGCAGCACTTCAACAGCGTCGAGGTGAAGTTTTATTTGGTGTTCCTCAAGTAGCAGGTGGAAGTGGAATGCAACGACGTCGCCGTGGTGTGCTAGGGTGTGTAGCCGCGGCCCGACATCGCCGCGCGCCGCCTACGTCTTGAGCTTGATGTCCTACCTCGCCGCGTTGTGTGCCCATTCACCTTGGCGCTTGTCCGCCCGCTTGGCCGCCGCTAGTTCCATGCGGGCCGGCGGAGCCACCCAGCCGAGGACCCATCTCGCAGTTTTTTGCGCCCGAGAATCCGTGCTCGCAACCATGACCCGCCACACTCGCTACCTTACGCGAGCTGCCTGCCTTTGCATAGGCTGGAACTATCGGCTACGAGGTGGAGCTGGAGTCGTGCCGCATGAATTGTTCGTCACCCATCTGCCCGTGCGCTTCATTCGGTCCCTAGCGCGCATGGAGTCCATCTAAGCCGAAGCTGACGTAGAAGGGAGAGGGGCTTGCCCACTAGTTCTCAGCGGAAGGGAAAAAGGGGAAATGAGCAGATGGGAAGAAGAAGGCGAGGACGGTGAATTCAAGGTGTTACCTCTAAACCGTGACATAACACTAGTTATGGGTAACGGAGGACTCTTTCGGTGGTATTTCACGTGTTGGAGATCTTTCAATGGTATTTTTCGAAAACACGATTTTTCGGTGCTAGAGAACCAATTTTCCCTATTAGAAATTTACTTGTCGGTGGTCACTCGAAACATCGACAGTTGGCGCGCCAGGTAGGGGCCTTTTACGTGTCTCGACATCCACACCAGGCCTCGGATGGCTAGTCACAACGTTAGCTGGGCCCCGGGCGCGCACGTGCGCTTTGGGAACCTAGATTTCATCGTCACATCGGAGGGAGAGTTGGTGCGGGCTCTCGTCGTCATCCAACCCCTCCACTCCGTCGGCCTCAACGTGATCTTGAGGAGCTACAGCTGCACGCACCGGAGGCCCGTACCCCCGGGAGCGACCAACTCCTCGGCTTCGACTACGGAAGGTTAGAGCGCCAGCTAGGTGCCTTCTTGGGACCCCGATCGTCCCGGGAGAACCTGCGCCACCTCGTCTTCTCGTTCGCCAATGTCATGACGCAGCTTGCCTAGGGAGAGCCGCTCTCCCTGAAATATCTCATCCGGAGCGCCCCGACAGCGCTCCCGTCCGGTCTTCGCAACGCCGCAGAGACCGTTGGCCATCTTGTGGCGCAACGAACGCCTCCATCCCCCGCGAACGATGAGTTCGTGGGGGTGACCGAATATGTCGCGGAGTTTTTCCATGACTTCCTCGATGGAGAAAGGGAGTCACCCTCCACCTCTAACTCCAGCAGGGGAGCCATCACCCCTCTCGTGAATGTTTCATGGCAGGTACCCCCGAGCGACACGTCGAAAGCATCCACGAGGAAGAGGCTACCCAATGAACGACGTCAACGACGAGGTCAAGGGGGGTGCAGGGGCCCACCTCGCCTACGGGTGGAGCAGTTGAAGGCCCGGCACCAAGAGCTCGAGGAAGCGCGACTCTAGTTCGAGCAGGAACGCGCGGAGCTCGAGTGAGGGATCGAGCGCCACGGAGACGGTGGGTGCGCGCGCCATGGCCCGCGACGTGAACTGGAGGATCATTGAGGACGATGAAGCACTCCCACACTTCACCCAGTTAAGCCATAACGTCGCTGCTACGGCGGCCTTGCTCCTGGGGCTTCCAGGGACCGCGACGCCCGAGGATTGTCGGGCCTATCGCGGCATTCGCATGCTACTTGAGCGTGCGGCGGCGCAGCAGGCCGAGAGCTCGCTGTCCCGACGACGCGAGCTCGACGCCAGCCAGCGCACGCCCTCAAGTGACCCGACAAGGACACGTCAGTCCACCAGGCTCCGTAAGGGGGCAGGCCACGCACCGCGATCTCGGTGCATGAGCGTCTCCGCCACCGTGACACATGCGACACCCTCGATGCCCGCAGGCGTGCCCACGGCAATGCGAGGGAGGGGCTAGCGTGGCTACCACCCTTGTCGTGGCGGACGCTACGACAGTGGCGAGGACCGAAGCCCGAGTCCTGACTTGCCAGGACCTTAGGCCTTTGGTCGACACATCCTCAACGCCGTCTTCCCACCACGGTACAGACCACCAACCAACATCTCGAAATACTCTGGGGAAATGAACCCCGGACTGTGGCTCGAGGATTACCGGCTTGCTTGCCAAGCCAGTGGAGCGGGTAATGACGATTTCATTATCCGCAACCTTCCATTGTTCCTGGCCGATTCGGTGCGAACATGGTTGAAACACTTTTCGCCCAACCGAATCCAAAGTTGGGCGGACCTAAAAGTGATCTTCATGGGGAACTTCCAGGGCATGTACGCACGTCCTGGGAATGCTAGGGATCTCAAAAACTATCGACAGAAGTCCGGGGAAACCCTTCGTGGGTACATCCGGCGCTTCTCCCGGCAGTGCAACGAGCTGTCCGACGTTGCCGACGTCGACGTCATAGGAGCTTTCCTGTCTGGGACCACCTACGAGACCCTGGTCCATAAGTTGGGACATAAGGGCCCATGAACCACCAAGGAGCTCCTCGACATCGCCACTAGCCACGCCTCGGGCGAGGAGGCGGTCGGAGCGATCTTCGACTGCCTCAAGGGCAAGGTGAAGCGCGACGAGGACGCCGGTGAAGGCGCCTCCAATAGTCCTAGCAAGAAGAAGAACAAGCAGCGGCGCGAGGGCTCGCTCGTGGCCGCCGTCGACCGCAAGGGGGGTCAGAAGCCTGCTGAGGGTACCCCGAACCACTTCGAGAAGCTGCTCAAAGTGCCATGCCCGAACCATGCCTTCCCCGTCAAGCATCTCTATAAGGACTGCGGCCTCATGAAGCGATTCTTGTCTGGAGTCTCCAACAAAGGGGAGCACAGGGGGGACCCCAAGCCGACTGTAGACGACGCCGAGGAGAAGGACGGTGGCTTTCCGACGCTAGATGGCTGCCTCATGATCTTCGGAGGGTCGGCGGCCTATGACTCCAAGCGCCGCTAGAAGCTTGCGCACCATGAGGTCTATACGGACGAGCCGGCCGCGCCTACCTTCCTCCGATGGTCGGGGTCTGCCATAACCTTTGATCGGACCGACTACCCGGAATGCGTCCTACAGCCGGGACGATATCCGCTCGTGGTCGACCCGATCATCGGCACGAAACGGCTCACCAAGGTACTGATGGATGGAGGCAGCGACCTCAACATCATGTACGCCGAAACGCTCGACGCCATGGGCATCGATCGAGGGCGCGTCCGGACGACCGGGGCGCCTTTCCACAACATCGTGCCCGGAAAGCAGGCCATCCCACTCGGGCAGATCAATCTGCCCGTCACCTTCGGGGATCCGTCCAATTATAAGACAGAGACCCTTACCTTCGAGGTGGTCGGGTTCCAGGGAACCTACCACGCCATCTTGGCATGTCCATGCTACGCGAAGTTCATGGCCGTCCCCAACTACACCTATCTAATGCTAAAGATGTCGGGCCTGTGCGGGGTCATCACCATCGGCACCTCCTTCCAGCGTGCCTACGAGTGCGAGGTTGAGTGCTGCGAACATGCCGCAACAATCGTCGCCTCGAAAGAGCTCGCGGCCATCAGGAAGGAGGTCGCCGAAGAAGCACCCGACCCCAAGCGGTCGACCGAGTCTTTTGAGCCTATAGAGGGCGCCAAGGAGGTCCTCATAGACCCCAGTGGCTCCAAGGGCAAAGTGGTGCGCATTGGCACCACGCTTTCCTCCGAATAGGATAGCGCGCTGGTCGACTTCCTCCGCGCCAACAGAGACATCTTTGCGTGGAGACCCTCGGACATGCCAGGCATTTCGAGAGAAGTCGACGAGCATGCCTTGAAGATCAGGCCAGGCTCCAAGCCGGTGAAGGAGCGCCTGCGTCGCTTCGACGAGGGGAAACGCAGGGCAATCGGCGAGGAGATTGCGAAGCTTCTAGCCACCGGGTTCATCAAGGAAGTATACCACCCTGAGTTGTTAGCCAATCCCGTTCTTATACGAAAGAAGAGTGGGAAATGGAGAATGTGTGTTGGCTACACGGGTCTCAACAAAATGTGTCCAAAGGATCCGTTTTCTTTGCCACGTATAAACCAAGTAGTCGACTCAACCTCAGGGTGCGAAATCCTTTGCTTCCTTGATGCGTACTCCGGGTACCATCAAATCGCGATGAAAGAGTCCGACCAGCTCGCGACATCTTTCATCACCCCATTCGGATCGTTCTGCTATGTCACAATGCCCTTCGGTCTGAAGAACGCTGGGGCTACGTACCGGCATTGTATGCTCAAGTGTTTCGGGGACCTCATCGGGTGAACCGTTGAGGCCTACGTGGACGACATCCTGGTCAAGTCCAAACGGGCTGACTAGGTCATAGCCGACCTAGAGCAGACCTTCGCAAAACTTTGAGCAAACGGCATTAAGCTCAACCTCGAGAAGTGCATTTTCGGGGTCCCGAGGGGTATGCTGCTGGGTTTCATCGTCTCCAAGCTTGGCATCGAAGCCAACCCGGAGAAGATCTCGCCCATCACAAGGATGGGCCCGATTCAGAACATAAAGGGGGTACAACAAATTACAGGGT